GGATTGGTGTGGTTTTGGTAGGCCTTTTCTATTGATCGGATGTTGTGGTATCGACTGTGATGGGAATGCCTTGTAAACGCGCCAAGGTAGGCCAATGTTACAGTGGGGGTTGGTAGGCCTGTTCAGTTGAATGAAGGTTGCTGGTGTCAACTGTGAAGGGAATGCCTTGTAAAAAAAGTCAATGTAGGCTGGAGTGATGGCAGGTGTTGGTATCAATAAAACAGTGTAGCTGAGAAGAATTGAGGTTGAGATGTTTTAAGTTGAAGCTGGATAGCTGAGGTGGTTGGTCAAGCCTGGAAGTGGTGATGATCATTGAGAGGTGCAGTAATCTTGAGTGATGGCGATGAAGACAGTAATGGTAGTGGCTGCAATGCTCTGTGTGACGGCTGGGATGTAACTTTGAGGTCATGGCCTTTATAGCAGCAGCCGGCAGCTATGCCAGCCCACAACTGCTCTGGTTGTTCTCAGAGGCCTGCTTTAAACAGATCTGGTAGTCCCCAGGGGCATCTCTTTCTCTCTCTCTCTCTCTCTCTCTCTCTCTCTCTCTCTCTCTCTCTGGTAGGAACAATTGCGATTGACCACTGCTGGAGTTCACTTTGTAGACTGGATGTCATGCATGGAGCCTAATGCATAGAAAACGACTTTTGTTATTTCGTTTTCTGCCTTTGTGGCATCCACATCTAGTCAGTGTGCAGAATGAATCAGAATGATATCTAATTGTGATGGAGTAAAACATATGCATTCTTTTTCTCTCCATCACCTTTGTCCCTGACTAACCCAGAGAAAATATACCAAGAATGGTAATATATTGTAAGAGCCTGGATGCAAATTTACTGTGGTTGAACTAGTGATCAAGGTACTTTCCAGACATTTTTGTCTTAGTGGATTATTTTCTTTTTTAATCAAAGTAGCATTCCCTATGTCAAAATTGTGGTCAGTTTTGTTACAGTTATATATACAAGATAAACAATATATACATTTTTATATATCAAGAACAACATTAGGGGTGAAAAAATATATGACAAAATGGAAAAAGTTTTTGAACGACAACATATATATAATATGTTTGTGCATTTATGTCTGAGTTTTTTGAACAAATAAACTCTTACGTGTATATATTACCCCTGGCAAAAATTATTGAATTATAACACTTAGAGAGGATGTTCACTGGGTTTTTTTTTAGTTAGCAATAAATAAATGTATCACAGATAAGATGCAAAATAGTTTTATTTAATAGCTGAAGATACTGGTTTCATAAAATGTGCATTAAACCAAATAGATTATTTAAATTAATGATATAATTTTTATTCCAAGCTATACAGAGGTAAATATTATAGGATAACCCAATATTGAACAATAAATTATGGAATCCATTGAAAAAATAATTAGAATTAATACTTAGTTGGCCCTCCTTGAGCTTTTATGACAGCTTTAATCTGTTCAGGTCTGGATTTTACAAATTTTAAACAATATTCTTTATGAAAGTGGTTACAAATTTCCTGAATAGTAGTTAACAGAGCTTCTTTATGCATGAAGCCTTCTAATAGGTCATTTTTCTTTTATTAATTTCGACCATAAATTTTCAATTTGATTTAAATCCCGACTGTTCACTGATCATGGCATTGATTTTTATTTGCCTTCCCTGAAGAAAAGCTTTAATCCCCTTTAATCTGTGACAAAATACATTATCATCCTGGAAAATCAACTTGATCATCATCACAACAATCTTCTATTAATGAAATGTGAAAATTATCCAGGATTTCAATGTACATATATGCATTGATTGATTGCCATCTCCCCTGGTGCTTCAAATGATTTTCAACCTCAAATCATGAATGATTTCAGAAATTGACTTGTTTTCTTCAGGCAGTCATCTTCATATGATGCCATTTAAATGGCATCAGACAAAAGTTACAATATTATCCAATCATCCACAGGCCATGATTGCCTCTTTTTAGCCCATTTTAATCTCATTTTCTTGTCCTGGCTTTTGTTTGGATTTTTGGATGTAAATTCCATTTCATTCAGCTGATTTCTTATAGTTTTGTTGCAAACACTGCCACTTGTTTTGACTTAATTGTTTTTAATTTATTTTGTTGTACATTTTCTATTCTCAAGCCATATTGCTTTCATGTCTGTTATGGTTTATGTCAGTGTTTCACAACCTTTTTAAGCAACGGCGCACCTAAGAGTAAATTAAAATATCACAGCACACTTAGCAAAGTTTTTTTTAAAATTTAAAAATTTAAATGTTATAAAATAAAACCATAGATTTTAAAAAAAATACACACACAAATATGAACTTATTTTATTTCAATGTTTCTATTTAACTATTTGTGCAGCTTATTTAGCATGAAACCTGTGCCTGGTGTTTTTTGTATGCTGTGGCAATATTTTGTGGTGCACTTAGTGAGGGTCGTGTGGTTTACTATTGTGCCGCAGCAGAATCACTGGCCTACGTAAATGCCTTCCTCTTTTAAATATCCCATTTCTTGAAGTAATCATTGCTAATTCCCCGGGTCCTTTAAATAACATGAAACTCCATATAATGAATGAGTTGAGAAATTGACTTGTATTCTTCAGGCAGTCATCTTTATATGTTTCATTTAAATGGCATCAGACAAAAGTCCGAGCAGCATCACCTTGGTCAATGCAGATTCTTGATTCATCAATGAATATCACTTTCATCCAATCAACCAGAGGCCATGATTGCTTCTTTTTAGCCCACTTTAACCTCATTTTCTAGTTTGTGTATCAGTCCTGGTTTTTGTTTGGATTTTTGGATGTAAATTCCATTTAATTCAGTTGATTTCTTATAGTTTTGTTGCAAACACTGCCACTTGTTTTGATTTGTTTTTAATTTATCTCAAGCCATATTGCTTTGATGTCTATCATGGTCTACATGAATGTTTTCTTTTTTTAACTATCCCATTTCTTTTATATTTGCACCAAATTTTAGATGACAATTATTTTTTTAACTGGAAACAACCAACATCTTCACCGTACTGTACAAAGCATTGCTTGCTTGAATGAGTTTTACAATCATTTCCATTGCTTTAATTGATAATTCTTTTGTTGGGGCCACGTTTCCTTTCAATTAGGTATGCCCAAACTATTGTTGAGGTCTGCAATGATCTCTAAACTGTAAAACAATTTGCATATCTAAGCTTCTGCTGGTACTTATTTTACGAATGGGAATTGCAAGATCATTCTATGATTTTTCTTCAACATTGGGTTATTTCATAATATTTTCCTCTGAATAGCATGGAATAAAAATTATACCATTAATTTAAATAACTTAATATAGTTCAAGATATATTTTATAAAGCAAGATGTTCAACTATTAAATAAAACACATTTTATCTTTTATTAGTTCATTTACTGCTAAATTATAAAAAAATCTAAGGGAACATCATTTGGGGGTTAATTTTTTCCATAACTTTTGCTATAAGTTGTGTGTATATATATTATGCAAATGAATAACCAAGGGGAAAAAAATTCTGTGTAATGTGTTTTGTCTTCTAGAAGAACTTCATTGGCCTAAAGTAATAATTGATGATGGAATTATATTTGTTGGCTATATTAAAGTGAATTAAACTGATTAGACTTCATGTCCAGATATGTTTGGAAAAAAAGAAATTTAAAATTTCAGCATTCCATCATCTTCAGCATTTCCAGTCAGTGCATAATTATAACTGGCATTTAAATTTTTATATCCTCCCCCTTCAACACATATATAATTCTATCAACAAAAACATTACTTCAGCCTGATGAAATCCTTCTAGACGATGAAACACATTACAAATATTTTACTACCTTGGCTAATTTTTCCTAACATTGTTTGGATATATAGACATTTATATATCATATTCTCACCAGATATACTGCCTATTGTTCCTCCCAAAAACCTCTAGATTGGTTTCATTCAACCATAAAACCTTTTGCCTTTAGCTTAATAATATCAGCTTTGGCATAGTTACTTGTTTTTGCTTTTTCATAAGCAGTGGTTTTTTTCTAAGCATCCTGTTATGAATACCAACATCATTCAGATTTCATCACACTGTAGACATATGCACATTGAGTTCGACATTGGCCAGGAAGCCTTGGAGAACCACAGAGGTCACAGTAAGATTAGCCTGGGCTTTCTGAATAAGATGTCTACTTGCTTTCACAGTTATTTTTCTTGGATGGCCACTTCTTGATTGTGATGGCACCCTCCATTTATAAATAATTTGTTGCATGGTCGAGACATGCACTCAAAATCATTTTGATAGCTTTTTGTAGCCTTCTCCATCATTATAGGCCTCAGGAAGTTCTTTTGATCTTGGCATAATTTTTTTAATTTCATCTTTAACTGCACCCTTTTTTGCATACACAATATGTTATATTGGTTGACTGCAGTATACACAGCTTACCAAAAAAAAATAAACACATGTCATTTTGATTTTTACATGTGCACAAAAAATTATTTGTACTGACAAATATATAAAACAAAACTACAGAGTGTAAATGTAAGGGTTCACTTACTTTTGCACATCTTAATTATTAATTAATATTTTAATTCCAGCTTGAAAAAATCTTTGAAAATGGTTGTAATTCATTCAATCAACGTTTTTCTTAATGAATATACAATTTAAGATTTGTTGATTATCTGGAAAAATACAACAAATTTTTTAAATATTATTTTAGGGGTTCACTTTCTTCTGCACAGCACTGTAAAAATATATATATATATATATATATATATATATATATATATATATATATATATCCACTTCGATGTCCACTTTTTATATATATATATATATATATATATATATATAGGTTTTTATAGAAAGATATACAGCTATTAAATGTTTTAAAAGGAGATAAATGTATGTATAATTTTATAAACAAACTTGATATAATATAAACAATGCTAATCTCAATTCACACTTCTCCAATCTATCATATTTCATCAGATTTAAAAGTTGATATAATTATTCAGCAAAAGAACTTACCTTGCAAATACAGCCCCACTTCCTCCAGGAAAAGTATATGGATGATGCTTTCTAAATACATGGCCAACTCTGCTGCAAGGAATAATCTCCAGACTTCCATGACATAACCAAACTCGGAAAGATATTTCTAGAGAATGAAAAAAATTTTTAAAAATTACTATATACAAAGTATTGTGATTATAAATGGAATAAAATATTTTGAATATTGTTACTACTTGTAATATAAGACTTAGAATATGAGAATAAGAGTACATGTTTGTAATTACTGAAGTACTGAAAAATTATTGGTTTGGCGAACATTCCAATGTCTGACTAAACAGAACATTTTAGGAAAGTCTTATTTTCAGTAGAGCTTCATTAATCTCATTTTATTCAGTGAATGTTAATATTGTAAGTTTTGAAAAATACAAATGTAAAAAAAAAAGAATTAAAAGATTCTAAACTAAGAAAAAAATAGTAAAAAATATTTTTAACTTTTATGTCTTTGAGGATTCAAATCTTAACATTACTAGTTTTATTTTTTATCTACAAGATATACAATCTTTCCTAAGCTCTCCAAAACTCATTATTATTCCAAAAGTTAAGCAGAAACTCCAAGACCAGTTTTCACAAAAAGCAAATACTGATTCATATAAAAATATTCTTTTTTATTTTATATCATGAGTGATCATAGCTCTCCACATCTTCATATCATTTGTAGTTCTAATCAGTGTTTGCCTCCTTAACATCCCTTCCAGTTCCTGTTCTGCCATCCATTTGTACAAACTTGTTAGCAAGGTCACTTGATGTTCTGCTTTCAATTTGTCTTTTGAGCATCAAATTCTCTTAGCCTTCTTTACTCATTATGTCCCTAAAATTTCAACTGCTACTTTCTGGTTCTAAGGAGAGGGGTCTTTTTTTTTCTTTTTCATTTTGTGTTAAAGTAAAAAAAGAAAAAAATGAATGAAAAAATATTCTCTTACTATCAGCAAATAAATGGAGGCTTTATAGTTCATGTGTCACAGGAGTGTCCATCTGAGTATACATATTCATTACTAATGAATACACTAAGATGGACATGTTCAAAAAAATATCATGTATTTTCTGTTTGTATATAAACTAATTGAACAACTACAAATACTGAACACTCATCCCAATTGTCATTCTCTTGTGTTTAGATCTTTTAAATGTATTTATAACTTGAACAAAATGATGCTGAAAATATTTAAACCTGACTTTTTTATTTGTTCACAAATTCACCAAACTTTTATTGTTCATGGGGGAAAATACTTGTAGGATAAACAGATCTATAAGCTAAATTTTCTACATCCATACAAGTATTTTGCATGTTGCAAATTCTGTAAAAGTGTTTCTCTAACCTCAGAAATAAATTTGCATAACAAATAAAATTAGATTCTCAAGAGTGTTTTAACAATTTTTAAACCTTTTATTTAAATCTAATGTGTTGTTGGTCATAAAGTAAAATCAAATATAAATTTTTATAATCATAAACAATACAAACGTTTCAATAACAAATTAAATGTTGATTTGTGGAGACTGTCTTCAGTTAAAGAGATATAGCTATTAATTTATCACAGCACAATATTTTAAAATGAGGACAAACAGAAAGAACAATTTTTCCTGCTTAACTTTTTTGTCTATTTTTTTTTATATGATTTATAGCATGTATTATGAATTGAATTTCAGCAGTCCTTTTCTCTAATTATTAGTTGTAAATATGTAAATTAAAGGGGCTAGTGAAATTTAGTAGATCATCTGAAAATACACCTGAATTCTTGCTTCTTTTTTCTAAGCAAATTATAAATTATTTTTATGAAGTAACATGGAAATGTTTACTTTCACAGAAAAGATTTCAGATTTGATGAATTAGTTTCCTGTCTATTTTCAAGAAAGAAATATATTTTAATTACTTTGTATGAAACTGCAAACTCAATAAAGCATTTGTTACAATTATAAAAATCATCAAAAATAGAATTTAGCATAAATCACTATAATTTAGATATGCCAAATTTTTGTTGAAGGAAATTTATGATTTAACAAGAGATTGTAGAAGTATGTGATAGTTGTATTATGCAAACTATTAACCTTTCAAATATCAAATTCTGTAATTTTATTTTTCAAATCTTTTCAAAATATTTATAACTTATAAGACTATATATTATACTGTATGAAACTTGGTAAAATTTTAGAGTTTCTTCAAAATTGAGAGATTTTTTCACATAAGAGTATTTGTACCTTTCAGGATGTAGGCAATCATGGTTGTCCGTCTCCCTTTATCCCTTACATCCCTCAGCAAACTCCTTCCCTCTGCTTCCTTCCCCCAGACCACGTTCTGTAATCCACCTGCTCAAGCTCATCAGGTATGCCACACACTGCTTTCCCTTTCTGTTTCCCTCTATTTGACCCACAAGTATCAGATTCTTCAAGCCCTCCTTCCTCATTATGTGTCCCAGAAACTTCAGCTGCCTCTTCCTGATATTAAGTAAAAGCCTTCTCCTTGTTTGTAACCTCTCTAAGACCGTTGCTCACATGCTCGGTCCATGATATCCTTAGCATCCTTCTGTAGAACCACATCTCCACTGCCTCAAGTTTTTTCTTCATCTTTGAGGAAAATGTCCAACATTCACTGCTGTAAAGAAGAATAGATGTTACATAACAGGTCAGTATACTTTTCTTTGTTACCAAAGAAATTCTGCTGTCTCGCAATACTCAGCTCTGCTTTGGAATGTGTCCTTGGCCATCCCAATATGTCTATGGATCTCAGTGTTGCACTTTTCATCTTCTGTCAAGATGCTTCCCAGATATTTAAACTTCTGCGTCTGCTTGATTCTAGTGTTACCGACCTGCAAATCGCATTTCAGGCTCTTCCTCTTATTGATGACCATGCATTGTGTCTTCTTGTAGTTTATTTGTATCACATGTCCTATTAACAGCAAGAAATAAAAAGAAAATGGCTGAACATCATTTAATTTATGAGCAATATCCAGTCAAACCTTATGAAGCCTTTTCTGTTACTGATTTGATGTTTTATTACTCTGAGTGGTTCCTAAAATATAAGCTGTCTTCTTGAACAGACATCTCACTAATAAGAAAAAGATTCTTCTCTATAAGATAGTATGCATTTCGATGCTGTTATATGGCTATGAATCCCAGACATAATACCATCACCATTTGCAAACTATTGAATGATGCCATGTCCTTCTTACAAAGAATCCTCAGATTACAATGGTCAGATAAGGTACTTCATATTGAAATTTGGAATTCACAGTCAATGACCATCTAAGACATGCTTGCTGATCAACAGTTACTTTTGGTTGGACATAACTTCTGCCGGTTTGAAAAATGAAGCTTGTGTCAAGTTTTCTTTGGTGAACTGGAGTCAAGTGAAAAGGCTGTTTGGTGATTAATACATGTGATACAGAGGTCACATCAGGGCCATTCTGAAAACCTGTAATAGCTTTATTAATTAATTAGAAAAGTTGGCTGATGATATGGCCAGTTGGTAACATATCTACACAGATGCTGTTCAAACTGCAAAAACAAAATTGGTCCAGCAGGCAGAGAAACATTATTGAAGATGCCACATGTTGAATCCTTTCCCTACTGCTATCCAGGCTCTTTTTTGATATGCCCGTCTTGTGGTAAAATATGCTGGTTTTGTATAGATTTAATCAACCACATGAGAACCCATTCACCATTAAGAGAACTAGTTGACTTCATCTGAAAAGATAGTCTACAATGATGATGACAATTGCAGCATACTGGAGTACTATGAGATGTATCTATGCACACAAAATAAATAAAAGTAATAAAAACCAAAAACATTTTCACAATTTTTATTTATATTCACTATTTTAGTGTATAATGTTTCTGCAGTAGAGCGTCTGCTCATACAGAAGATATTGCAAGGAGTATGCTGAATAATTCAGAATTCAGTTTGCGAGTCAAAGAATCTATAGACATTAGCGACAGAACACAATTACTTATATTTATTTGTGTTATTGATCAGGGCCAAACCATAAATCAGATTTTTTTATGGCAAAATAATGCCAAGAAGTATAAGAGGTCAAGATGTATTTGATATTTTAACTACCTGCCATAGAAAATGGAATTTTTCTTAGATGTAATGTGTAGGAATATGTACTAATGTGGCTCCATCCATGATGGGTTCTATAAAAGTATTTGTAATGCTCATAAAACAAAACCCTATTATTATTATTATTATTATTATTATTATTATTATTTTATTTCCTTTGATTTCTGGTATATATTTCTTTCTTTCCCTGTCCTGACCAGAGACCTAAGGTCAGAAATAGCATCATGACATTTTCCCCTGAGCATTTTTGGAAAAAAAAAAAAACAAAAACACACATATTTTATATAGATAAAACCCTTCATAAAGTGTGAGCTGTTCTTATGAGAACAATTTTTTGTATTTTTTTAAAGCATGGACTACCCAGAATCCCTTCAATGAGTTTATTGGAATCTTTTCCAATCAATCCAAGAGTTCCAACTAAAACTGGAATTCTTGATATTCTCCTGTGCTACATTTTAGAAATTTCAATTTCAAGGTCCTTGTATTTTGATAGATTTTTGAAGATTTTCAAAGATATAAATGCAGTCTGCAGGGTCTGCCATATCAATAAGGCGGCACATTTTGACCTTGTGGTCTCTAATCACGATGTCTGGGTGATTAGCTTTGATTTTTCTGTCTCTGTGTATTGTCTCTTCTAGGTGGTCATTTCAAAAACATTATCAATTAAATTAAAACTAGTATTCAATGAAACTGTTGGTTAACATATTAAAAGCTGATCAAACATAGGTGCTTAATGTTCTATACACAAGTCAGGTGACTTTCAAGAGGTCAGATGCTCTGTTATATATTTGAACTCCAGTAAGTGTAATTTGTATTTTTTGAAGAAGAAAAACACAAACATTTCTGTAAATATTAGAATATTTAACAAAGATATTTGCACAACTTAATATTATTGACACAAGTATGCAAGTTAAGGATGAAAATATTTTGATTACAACAGATAAAAAAATTGCATTTCAGAGAAAAATAGCAATTTGGGAAAAAAGAGAGCTAAAGATGGTTTCTTTGAAACATTTTTCCTTAATATACAA